GATGCTGTACGGATGCGTCAGTTTTTAAACATCGAGGTCGCTTTAGAGATGCGTCAGGGTTAGAACGTCTGGGTTGCTTTAGGGGTGCGTCAGGATAAGAACGTAAGGGTTGCTTTAGGGTAGGAAAATCAGGGTGGCCTTAGGGATGCGTAAGGGTTGGAACGTCAGGGTTGCTTTAGAGATACGTCAGGGTAGGAACGTCATGGTTTCTTTACGTTGGGATCGTCGGGGTTGCTTTACGGATGCGTCAGGGTTGGAACGACAGGGTTGCTTTAAAGATGTGTCAGTTTTGCGTCAGAGTTAAGTCATGGTTAGAACCTAAGGTTTGCTTTAGGTTTGAAAAATCGGGGTTGCTTTAAGGATGCGTCAGGATTAAAACGTCAGGGTCGCTTTAGGGATGCGTTAAGGTGGGAACGTCGAAGATGCTTTAGGGATGCGTCAGGGATAGAACGTCGGGATGGCTTTAGGGATGCGTCAGGGTGGGACGTCGGGGATACTGTACGGATGCGTCAGTTTTTAAACATCGAGGTGGCTTTAGAGATGCGTCAGAGTTAAAACGTCTGGGTTGCTTTAGGGGTGCGTCAGGGTTAGAAGGTCTTTGTTGCTTTAGGGATGCGTCCGGGATAGTACGTCGGTGTAGCTTTAGGGTTGCGTCAGGGTTGGAACGTCAAGGATACTTTAAAGATGCGTCAGGGTGGGAACGTCAGGAAGGCTTAAGGGATGCATCATAGTTAGAACTTCGTGGTTGCTTTAGGGATGCTTCAGGGAGGGAACATCAGGGTTTCTTAAGGGTGGGAACGTCGAGGTTGCTTGAGGAATGCGTCAGAGTTGGAACGACAGGGTTGCTTTAAGGATGTGTAAGGGTGGAAACGTCGGGGTTTCTTTAGGATTGGAACGTCGGGGTTGCTTTGGGAATGCGTCAGGGTTGGAACGTTGTGGATGCTTTAGGGATGCGTCAGGGTGGAAACGTCTGTGTTGCTTTAGGGATGCGTCAGGGTTCGAACGTCAGAATCGCTTTAGGGATGCTTCAGAGTTGGAACAACAAGGTTGCTTTGAGGATGTGTCAGTTTTGCGTCAGTTTTGCGTCAGGGTTGCGTCAGGGTTGCGTCAGGGTTAGAACCTAAGTGTTGCTTAAGGTTTGGAAAATCGGGGTTGCTTTAGGGATGCGTCTGGGTTGCGTCAGGGTTGCGTCAGGGTTGCGTCAAGTTTGCGTGAGGGTTGCGTCAGGGTTGCGTCAGGGTTAGAATATCAGGGTTGCTTTAGAGATTCGTCAGGGTCGGAAACACAGGGTTGCTTTAGGGGTGCGACCAGGTGAAAACGTTGGGGTTGCTTTAGGTTTGGAACGTCGGGGTTGCTTTAAGTATGCGTCAGGGTTGCGTCAGGTTTGCGTCAGGGTTGCGTCCGTGTTGCGTCAGGGTTAGAACTTAAGGGTTGCTTTAGGTTTGGAAAATCAGGGTTGCTTTAGGGATGCGTCAGGGTTAAAACGTCGGGGTTGTATTAGGGATTCGTCAGATTT